CAAAATAATTTGTGACCTGTGCATTGTGGTGCAGTTATGCCTATAGATTTTGGCCTGCTGGAGTGGCTGTTCAGGTGCTTTCCTTGGTACCAGTGTATTTAGCCACTTTCAGCACGACAAGAAAATGATGAGGACAGTAAAATCTGTTATCTGAGACCTTTGGAGAGTGTTCAGTGCTGCCTTTTCCACTGTTTTTCTTTGCTCTGGCCAGTACTTCTGACTGTTGATTTGTGGGTTCTTTTTTTTCCTAATGTGTCACCGTTTTTTCCAGTTTGCCAAACAAGTTGATTAAAAATGTCAGCGTGTTCTATTTGAGATGTATCTTACCTTGATGGCAGTTTTGGCTTCTGATTTGGGTATTGGGCACACTGCTTGCTATGAGAGCCTTTTGCACCTCAAAACTTCCATTTTGAGCTTGCTTTGGTCTTAGAATTGTTTTTTACTACTTTTGCTGGACAGCATGCTTGAGATTAATAGATTTTTTTGACACTGGCAGTTCTTTAAAGTTTTTCTTGTTTTCCTGAGATTCCTTACTGATATAAATATATCTGTGATTCACTGACTTAAAGCATTGGCTTATGATTTTTTTTGAGTTAACCCTTTAGAAAGAAAAGTTCCTCTAGTTTGTGGGAGGAGATTTTTCTGCCCCACTGGTGATTTTGCAGGAAATCCTTTGTTTCATGTGGCTGTATTGTGAGGACACCTGTCAGGAGCCCAATCTGTGCAGATAACTGTCAGAGGTGGAATGGCTGTGGAAGTCTTGAGAGCAATTGGATGAAGCTGGATATGATCTGTCAGAGAAGAGTGAATAAATAACAAGCTCTAATGATTTTGTGGGAAATATCCCTCTCTTTAAATTTAGAAAGACGTCATAAACTTAGGGAACAAAGAAACAAGGAAGAATTTATTCAACACGCTGGGTCTTTCTCGCACCGCATTTCCAGGGAAAAAGACAACTTCGGTTTAAATTCCATACATTTTATAGTTTCGCAAAATCCCACCCTTTTCAGATAAGTTTTAATGTATTCATCTTTACCTAAAAAGGTTTCTTTTCTCTGAAAAGGGGCTTCCCCTTTTTCCCAGTTGGCTGCAAGCCATCCCCTGTCAAAAGTGATGGATCTTCCTTTGTTCTTAGCCCAAAGAGAAAAGGAACCTCGTGTACAAAATGGCCCTAAAAGATTGAATTTTTAAGGATTTTCTCATTTCCCTTATCCTGCCGAAAGAGACCCTGATACCCAAGTTCAGCTCTTGGAACTTGGGTATCTTACAACTTCATGGTACGTCTATTTATAAAAAACCCATATTTTTATTTCTCAGAATTTCACTCACAGGATTCTGGCTTTTGAACAAATTACTTTAAAGCTGATGATGTGTAGCTGACATGGCAAGCAGGAATCATATCTTTTGAACAAGTGGTAGGTTCTGGCCTACTGAAAATCCAGAAGAGGATCAGACTGACAGGCTTCTCAAAGCAATGAATTTAGAAGCTGAATTGGTTCATTGACCATCACTCCAATTAAATGAAGAGGCCATTGCTCCTAAGTTTGAGTAATATTTTTTTTCTGCTTTCAAGATGTCATTTGCACGAAAGGCTGTAATTACTCAGCATTAAAAGAAACTGTTTGTGACATCAGTGTGTGACACAGGCTTGTGAAACCAGGCCCTGCTGTAAGTTCATGGATACATCTCTAGGACAAGCCTCAGTCTCCTTCATGACTCGTGAAAGACAGACATCCCAGTCATGCCGACAGAAAAACACACATCCGTTTCTGTTACTTCAAGACTCTGTCCTGCTCATTGGAAGCTGTTTGCACTAAAGAATGGATCTCTGAACTCTGCCAGGATGTTGTGGAAGCAGCTATAGTAGGGGTAAGGCAGGTGTGTGGGTGGAGACTTAGAATAGACATTCTTGAGTTAAGGCACATGTCTTAACCAGGGCTGGTTCAGAGATCTGAAGCTGCAAATTATTAAATTGCTCTCCAAAAATTCCCAAGGCTGTCTCATGGACTGAAAATCCAGAAATAATGGAAGCGATAAACAAAAATCCTGCTGTTACATTCCCATACTCACTGGAAAGCCTTCTGAGGTTATTTATCTCTATATCAGTGTCAGGAAAAGCAACAGAATAGTAAAATGTAGGTATTATCTCAAGCCAGTGATCAGAATTCTCCATCAAACAATTCTGGAATCTTCTGTAAATATGTCAGATTTAGCAGATATTGCTCCTCTAGGAATTGTTTATTCCCACTGCATTTGTGACTTTATTCAGAAGGCATAATTTCAGCATCTGTCTTTCAAAGGACTGAGAAACAGAGAAGTCTTGAGAAAAGGCTAAATCAGCTCTTCGGAGACCATGGGTGTCCCTTCACAATCTCTTTGCCTGGGGGTCCTATTGCCATGACCCACAAAGATTATCTACACCTAAGTATTGCAAATACCATGTCTGTGGTGCTCCTGTTGGCTCTGAAACCACACTGACTTTCAGGAAGGATGCCTTCTGCTATAGTGGGTATTAGTCTGTTCAAGAGTATTCTTGCCAGGATTTTGCCAGCAATGGAGAGCAGAGTAATACCACGATAGTTTGAGCAATCTGATTTAATACCTTTCTTCTTATGCAAGGTGATGATGACTGCATCTCATGGGTCATCTACCGCCACCACCTATGTCTCCTAGAACGCTTCCATCAACGCTGCCTCCGTTCAATCCTAAACATCCACTGCTCAGATTATGTGACCAATACATCTGTTCTAGAACAAGCAGCAGTCACTAGTATTGAGGCCATGTTGCTGAGAACACAGCTGTGCTGGGCAGGGCACGTCTCAAGGATGAAGGACCAACCACTGCCTCCCGAAGATCCTGCTCTATGGTGAACGTGCCACTGGCTGCTGCAAGAGAGGAGCCCCAAAGAAAAGATACAAGGACTCCCTGAAACAACATCTCAGCCTGGCCATATTGATCACCATAACTGGTCTACTCTGGCCTCAAATCGGGAGGCCTGGAGACACCCCATCTATAACACAGCTGTCTCCTTCGAGAACATGCGCAGGATCACTCTCGAGGAGAAAAGGCAACGCAGAAAGAACCGTGTCTTGCAGAATACACCATCTAAGGAGTCTTTCTGCTGTGCCTTTTGCAATCGGATATGTCTGTCACGTATTGGCCTCATAAGCCACCAGCAAATGTGGATAGAGCCTTCCCAAATCTTCGTTCTCGAAGCCTAGCCGTGATGATGATTGCAAATATTTCAAAAAACAACTTAATTTTTAGTAGATGTGAAAGTGGGATTAGAAGTGACTTCCTGGGCTGCTTGTATTCATCCTGAGGAAGACTAGTGCCATCTGCAGAACAGCTCACCCTAATGTCATTATTGAACTGAAGATTTACCTGGATGTAGACTGGTTTTCAGGTAGGTATGTTTCATAATGTTTGTGTGAACATTCTGGGACACGATGGTTGGGAGAACCTGTGCAAATGAAGGTTTTAAAAAAAAGGCAGGAGAGATCTTCAGTTTCATTTCTGGCTAAGCCATTTTGATTTTGAGGACACTAAATATTGGCTTCCTTGTGCTTTGTTGTGTGGGAGTAGATCTGTGCTATGTCAAACACCGGGAGTGGGACAGGTATATCATAGATGCTGCCTGACATGGATAAATAGTATGTTCAAACAGAAAAAATAAACCGCTGAGAATTGCATGGGCATGTGAATGCTTGAGAGATGCCATCCTAGCTCTTGCTCCAGTTTTCTAAATGAGCCCAAAATCGAGGTTATTGAAACTTGAAAAGTTTTCATGGAAACATCATGATTCCGTCTCTCCATGGTTGCAGAGAGTTAGAAAAAACTGCATGTGGGAAGATGCAATAAGAGAGACAGAAATGCACAGTGTGATGGGGAATCTGAGAAACAGTGCTATGAGGTGTTGAAGTGGAATCTCCTCATCAGCTCTCTGGGCTTGCATTCCAAAATTCTACGGAGGTTGCTAATGCTTGCTGTGGCATCTTTAAGTTTTATGCTTGAGGCCTTTCATTCGTACCTGGTGGAGTGCATTTGATGTTACCCTGTATGCCTGCAAGGGTGAAGTACAACTGTAAACTCTCCATAAAGCTTTCCTAGGAGTGGGAGTAGACCAGCTTTACCTGAACATTCGGCTGGTTCAGCCCAGCTAGCCTCAAAAAATCATCTAAATTTGTGAAGAGAGAAATCATTTGCTAATTGCCATAATGAAAGAAAATCTTGTTCTCTTGCCCCATGTGCAAGCTCCTTGAACTTCTGTGTATAGTTCTTACTCTGGATTACCAGCATATGTGACTCTGACCTTTAATGTCCTCTATTGTCCTGTTTCCACAGAGGCTCTTCTGTAAGAAACTCTTCCTCTCTCATTTTCCAGCAGTGACTGAGAGAGGTCGCCAAACAAGATTCTAGGAACCAAAAGGTGTTGGTTTCTTTTTCTGTGTCCCAGCTACTTTTTCCAAAAGATCTTCAGCTGACATCTCTGTTCTTTTAATTTTTTTTCTGGCACGACTCATCTGAGTGAAAATATGGTCAAAGCAATGACCGAGGATGTGGATGTGTACGTGCATGTTTTTGTTTCTTACGAGCCACAGTTAAATTTTTCAAAAGGGTAATCTTTTGAGTTGAGTGCAGCACACTCTTCCCAGAGGACAGTAGTGATGGAAGATGACTGGGGGATAATTCCTGGCTTTTTTTCCAGGAAGTACTTTGCTTCACTTGGCTGCCTTCTTGAGACCTGAATAAATATAATATGTAGAGGCTGAAATCATGAAGGTAGTTTTATTTAGCCAATAAACACCATCCTGTGCTCCAGAGAACTTGCTAGTACTTCCTTGTGCTTCTCTACAGCAATGCCTGTAATTGCTCACTTTTATTCCCACCAGTTAATGTCTGGCTTCTTGCTTTTCTGTTCTGCTCCTCCTTCCCTCTGCTTGCTCCTGTTCATTCCTGCTATGACAGCGTGGTGTGACAGTCTCTCTTTTCATTCACAGCCTCCTCGGTGGCAGGAACGGTGGCATCTTGTGAAGAAGTTCAGGCGAAGATGTCGCTACGGCTCGGCTTCAACTCCAGCAGAGTGGACAGCTTCAACTCCAGCAGAGTGGACAGCTTCAACTCCAGCAGAGTGGAGTGCTTCCCGAGCCTTCCCGGCCCTCCTCCCATCCGCAGGGCCACCAACCTGTCCTTCAACCCCCACAGCCCTGCTGTGTCCATGGCGCTGGACACTCCCAACAGTGAATGCTGGTTGTCCAGTCAGGAAAATGGCTCCAGGGAGGCCTTCACTTACAACATCCAGAATCAAGAGTAGGAACAGATGAGAAGGGAAATGAAAAAAGCAAAGCCTGGGAGAAGCCTTGTGAGGGTGAATGTGGGACATGGGACAAGGAATTAGGTGGGAGCATAAGTGAAAAGTGAGGTGCAGGAGTGACAGTATCTTTTAAATGAAGCGTGAAAAGCTGCCTGATGTGCATAGTGGGACAGGGCACCTGCTGTGAGACAAGTGATACCTCTGGTCAGAATGCTTCCAGAATTGCATACCTGTCAAGCAAAAGAGAGGATGTTTCAAACTTTGGGGTGTGCTCTGGAGAGTGGGAAGATGATCCCCACTAATGCCCATTGGTGAAGAATCCTGCTGTGAAACCACTTGGCTCAAGTGGTTTCCGTTGCCTTTGTCCTGGCATCTGGGAGGAGGGGTTGGAGTCAGATCAGAGTTGGCAATAACACAGTTGTTTACTGGATGGGTTGCTGTAGCTGTTGACCCTACTTTAATCTCTGGATTACCTCTCCTTGCTCTCTGGAGCTTTAGTCCACCACCCTCCTGCCATTACCCTGAGCAGCTGGAGACTGCAGGGAACTTGGAGACCACGTACTGCCAGTACAGCAGCCAGGGGGAATTTACCAGCTGTCCCAATATTCCCAGCTGTACCAGCTCTCCCAGTTCTGCCAACTGCCAGATCACCTGGCCACCAATTTGCTCTCCAGTGACCAGCTCCCTCCTCCAACACCCCCTGAGTCCCATTCAGCTTTCCTGGCCTTACCTGGTAACACTGGAGCAGTAACCTGTGGAGCCACACAAGGCTATGGACAAAACTACATGGGGGGACAGCTCGTGCCACAGCAGTCAAGTGGAAACTCAGGTAAACTTCTGAAATATTTTGTCATCCTGCATCTCTGGAGTAACTAAACCATACCCTGAAACACTCAGGATGATCAGTGGTTTTACTGGTGGCTGTGACAGAAAGTAGAAAAATGCACATGCATGCACAGATATAGATATATATATATATGGGCCCATCTTTTTTTCTAATTTCTTTGTATGCTTGTTTTTTTTTAAAGTGCTGAGTGACCCATTCATTTGAATCAAAAGTTACTACACAGTTTGCACGTCAGAAAGAGCATTAAATATGAATGTGTCAGGTAGTGCAGTGGTTTTTCTCTGGACTGGAGAACTAACTTTTACAGGAGTGTACTGTTGTGCAAGTGAACATGCCTTTGGTATATGTGGCTGGGAATCAAGGGTGCAAAATAGAAAAGGTGCCTCAGCAAGTGGAATAGTTGGAGGTAGAAAGAAAAACAGGCTTCTCACTCTGTTGGGCTTCTGCAGAAACCAGTTTGAAGTTTCATATCTTCAGGTAGTGCAAAAGAAGAGAGAGACAGAAGCCAGCAGCGTATGCCTATAGAGTCTTTCTTTTTCTTCCTCTGGTTTGAATTTGGAACAGATTAAGGCACTTCTGCATAATTTTATGTAAAGTAACTAGGTGAAACTGGCACTGTTGATCTTGTTTTGTGTCCAGGCTTTGTATTTTGAAGTTATTCAAGCCCAAGTATAATCAAATAAGAAACCATTGCAGTTAGTTTATTTGGACTGTCAGGTTTGTTGAATTAAGCTCACAGTCCAAAAACTACATGTCTTGTCTTATCACATAAGAGAATAGTTTCAGACCACAGATGCTGCTGCCAGTTTTGTACCAGTCTTGTGGACATTGTTAGGGAGGGAAGTCTGACTCACAGCAGGCTGCAAACTGGCTCTTGTTCCCATTATTCCTGCTGACATTGTCCAGGCCAGGTTGGCAGCACCTGTGCTATCTACCACACTTGGCCTGTCTCCCCTCTCTGGTTTCAAGGCATAATTATTCTTTTCAGTGGTTTTTCAGTCTGAAGTGCCAGAAATAATGAGAGGGCTGTGCCCCAGTGCACCAAATTAACATTTTTATAGCGTGATGCCAAAGTGTGTGTTGCATTCTTTGGGGCACATTGTGTGAGTATAAGGGATGTGTAAAGGTGCAGACTGATAAAGTTGAAAGATTGTTGAAGGAACAGAGGCAGAGTTGATGTTCTCTTACTCTGTCCAGAGCACAATCAGCAGTGCGTGGCTGTTCTGTTCGAGGAAGGGATCCTACAACTGTTATGACCAAGTTCACAGAATCATGGAATGGTTTGGGTAGGAAGGGACCTTAAGGATCATCCTGCCATGGGCAGGAACACCTTCCACTATCCCAGGTTGTTCAAAGCCCCATCCAACCTGGCCTTGGACACTTCCAGGGATGGGGCAGCCACAGCTTCTCTGGGCAACTTGCCTCACTACTCTCACAGGGAAGAATTTCTTCCTGAAAAGGTTCCAGGTTCCCAAAATGCAGTGGGCAGGGAACCAGTCTGTCAGTGCAGACACACCCGTGAGTCTTACTTCACAGAGTAAGCAAGTGAACAGCTTAGTTGGATTATAGCTATTACTTAACAATACATTTCTGCTTCCAGCTTCCATAAATGAAAGTGAAGATTAAACATTCAGGTTATGCTTGACAGAGTTGGAACCTCTTGGAAAATAGGAGTGGAGAAAAAAAATTGGGGAGTGGGTGTCTCTAATATCGTTACATACTCTCAGGATCAGTGCTGAGTGACATCATGATTTCTTTTTACATTATAACAATACTATGAACTTCCAAGATTTTTCCTCCTAAGAACTATCTTGTCATGGTTTGAGATAGCCCCAAAATCCAATCCCCTAGCTCCATTCCCCCTCCCACATCTCAACCTAATGTGAGATGGGTTTTTCCAGACAAAACACACCAGACCCCTAGCTCCATTCCCCCTCCCACATCTCAACCTAATGTGAGATGGGTTTTTCCAGACAAAACACACCAGACTCAAAGTGGGGGAAAGGGAATATATTACAATGACTGTACAAATAAATACCATATCACATTATACACATGATCACAACTATCTCTACCATGACATATGTATTTACAATGATCAGATCTCTTCTCCCCTCCAAATAAAAGTCCAGGAGGGAGAGAAGGACAGATCCCTTTCAGTCTTTGAACAGCAGCATCTTCTGAGGCAGCAGTCTGTCTGTCTTCTTCACATTGATGCAGCAGCTTATGGCTGGCTTTCTGCCAGCATCCACGAGGGAGGTATTCAAGCCTCTCTCTCGTCCCCATCGCCTCCAACCGAGGGGTCTTCCGTGGGCTTCGTAACCCCAGACAAGGTCGTATCACCACGTCATATCACGAAGACACAGGGGGGTCTTCGTGACGGTCTGGTATCTCTTGCAGGGCCTCTGTGCCCTGTCTCTCAGGCTGCCACCGTGGCAGCGTGCAAGGGGGAAGAGCCAAGGTCAACTCCCCCTGCATTCCTCTGGCCGTCCCAGTCCAGCTGCGGGACACTTTGAGCTTCTTAGCTCCTCTCTCTCTAGTGCTGCATGTCCAAAACTACTCTCCAAAATAGGAGTCCATGTCCCTCTTCTCCAAGAGGGGTCTCAAGGGAGTTTTAGGGGATCTGGTACAGTCTTACCCCCAGAACTCTGTCTCTCAGGCTGCTGGCTCTCTCTTCTTTCCGGCTCTCCTTCCAGGAGTCCTTTCTGTGGTGCTGCATGTTGTTTCTGCTGCTCCTTCAGTTCAGGTGTTATCTCTCCTGGCTCTCTGCCACCGTTTCTCTGGTCAGTGCCTGCTGCTGCTCTGTGCCCATGGAGAAAACATCTCCCGGCATAACTACAGGCACCTAGCCCAGCTTTATGCTGTTCCAGGTCCCCGCAGCCCCCCAGCCAGGGGCTGGGAGGCCCCAGAGGGCCCCAGGGGCTCAGAGCCCCTTCCTCGTGGCTCTACAACATGGCCACCTCTCCTCAACAACCAAAACTACAACTCATCTCTTCCGGTGAGCTTGTGGGATGTTGACATTTTTGCAGGAGCACCCATTGGACAGAACTCCAAAACTTCCAGGGGTTTCCACCCCTTGGGGTCTACCACTTTTCTTAGCCTCTGGGGGAAACACAAGGTCCAAACCACGACAATCTTTTGGATAAAAACACTGCAGCGTAAACAGCAAAGTGATCCTTTATCTATATATGGTGTCAGCTCTACTGCAATGACCACCAGAGCATGGCTGCAATGCTGTTTGCACGGAGCATAGACATGCTGCTGTTATTTTCAGTATTCTGTCTTTCCTTTTGTTGCTTTTCCCTCAGCAGACATCAGTGCCTATCAGGCTGTCCCCTGGAGTGATTTCTACATGCAGGGAGCTCAATTCTCAAATCAGCTGCACTCCCAAATACCACTTTTTAGCACAGCAGAAGGACAGAACTTCATAGAGCCATCTCTTCTTCAAGTGCCCAATGGAACAGCACTGGGATCCATGTCACAGGCTGGAAAGCAAAAGGGAGTCACACCAGACCAGAGTTCAAACCAGAGCCACCAAACAGAGCCAGAGCTGGCATGGCCATGGCTCGCTGAAAGAGAGATGATGTAGAGTGCTGTAACAAGAAAGGAGACACCACTGTTGGTAACTGAAAGGCCAGCTGATTATTTTTTTGGGGGGAAAAAGAAAGAGTTCCAAGACAGCAGTAGCTCCTCTGAATGCAGGATCAAAACTGTGGCATGAATGGGAATGGAACTTCCTTTTTTCTGGTCTGCCATCCAAGGCTGGTCCCATTATCCTGTACCTGGTTTTTAGATTCATCTGTTCATAGAAACGGGGACTTAGAAGTCAGTAAAATAGATGCCAAAGTTCTGTCCTCTCTCAGACAACATCTGTTGTGATCTGAATGGCTGCACAGGACTGACAATTTCTAAGATTTCCAGAGGTATAAACACCTCTCTTCAAGGCAGAACTTCTTCAGCACGAGAGGGGAAAAGGGAAGAGAAGAGAGAGCTTTCTGTCTGGATTTCCATTTCCAGGCTTCTTTTTTTTTTTGGAAACAAGATTATCCTACTTTTGAATGGTTGAAAGGTCTCATATGCCTTAAATATTCTTTGGATGTGTATGGGGGTATATGTGTGTCTCATTTTGAAATATGAGACATTAGAAAAATCCAAAGTATTTTGTGTCATGTTGTTATGATCCGCCCCAGAAGAAGGGGAGTGGGAGTGTATTAGGGACGGGTTCAAACATACTGAAATCTTGAAACCATGACACTGTTGCAAGCTCAACAAAACTGATATTTATTACCAAGAGGTGGCCAACAAAATGAACAAACCAAAAAGGGAGGAAGGAGGAGAGAAATAAGCCCCCAGC